TACTTGGAAATGATGAAAACACTGGCACCATCTGCTGAATCGCCGGCCAACTCTTCAGTTCATCCTGGCCGAGACGCCCGACAGTGCAGTGATTCTGTGTGAAGTGCTGGCCTTAAGATGGGTTCCAAACCATGGTGACCCAGTTGTGCATATTGTTGTACCATGTTATATTAACGTATACATGGATATAGTAGGATATAGTACACACATACTGGATATCCCCAGTGAATACTTCGCCAGGGCAGAAAAGGCGCCGAGCTCATCAGCTACCCGAGTCAAGTGGATCCCACCACATTGCATCAGGCGATAGCTGGTGGGAACGGGAAATTTTTTGTGGATCATTTCCTGATATTTCCTGATTTCAGTGGGCCAATTTTAAGGTGATTTCATTCGCCCATCTGGGAGAAGTGCATAATCTCAGCACAAGGGACACACTGCGTGTCAGTTGTTTGCATGGATGTTTAGGCCTGATCCGCTGAATGACTTAAGATCTCCAAAGAGAGTCAAAAAGTCTGAAACGACGATCCAGTGACGCAACGGTTCGCCTTCTCTGAGATGTTTATGCAGATGGACCTGGATCAATTTTGGGTACACATTGAGTATTTCATACATCTGTGCAAAATTTGTGGTCCCGGACCTTGCAACCCTCACCCACAGCTTGTCGAAAGAAATGCAAATGGACACGGAAATGCCCAAAGGACTCAACTTATTACACCTTTCTCCACTGGTCCATTCAAAGATAGATATCCTTCGACCATCTCCTGGGGAAACACTGGAGATTTGATCGTCTCACCGAGTTCTGCCATCTGGGCCGGACTTGTGCAACCTGAGTTGTCACTTTGAAAAGTGCCGCGTGGGGACAGCGTTTCTCGGGATCCAAGTTTTTGCAGCTGCTAAATTGAACATGGATCTGGAAGAACCCAAACACCGGGTCTGGAAGATGAATGAAGATGATTTTCCTGATATTCGCAGCTTTGCTTGTTGGCTTTGAACCCCTGGGCCTTGAACCCTAATTAACTTGGAACCATGGGCCCTACAACCTTTGCTATTGGGTGGCAAGGCCGGATGGTCATTCTTGCCATGTTGATTTTCCGGAGTGTTTTTGGTGTATTCAATTTCAATTTCAACAGATTTCGGCCAATTGGCGGTCAATAACCTTTGCAATCTTTGCATATTCGGCATATTCCTTGTTACATTGGCGTCTCAAGGATGAAGTCGACCTCGGCCCCGGGGGTGTATCATAGAGTCACCGAGTCAGCGACAGCGACTTACCGAAATCGAAGCCTTGGAATCGAACTTAAACGCATCCAGTCCCGTAAAAATTGCAGATGTAGAAGTTTGAGAAACCCAACCTGGTGCTATTAAAAACTGTGAACATCTAGCAGATTTAGCACTTCTCTCACTCTTAGCCTCAGCTGAAGTTTTCTGACCTGGGGCCTGGGTGCAGCAAGCCGGGCCTTTCGGGTGGAACATGTGGGGATCCATTTGAAGGGGCCCAAATGGACGCAGTGGAAAGGCCGCCGGGGCCTCATCACATTGCCTTGCCAGCCAGGGCTCAAAATCATGGACCCCAATTTTGGGATGGTTAGAGTTAAAGATAGATAGATTAGACTAGATTATAGTCGGGGACGCCTTGTAAGCAGAGACTGATCTGCTTACTGCATCTGCCAGAGGCCAAAATCAGGCAAATAAGAAATGACCTAAGTAAGGCCTAAGTACAAACACCTGTAGTAAGCAGATATATGAACATATACACCAAAGACAATTTCAGAATCTGCTTACTACAGCTCCGTTGTCCTGAAGTGTTTGTACAGTAGACTTAGTGTCAAGACAGGTACAGTAGACTTAGTGTCAAGATCATTGCCTTGTACCGAGCCTCTTCCCCACGAAAAGTAGGGACAACGCAGTAAGCAGGAACCCTCCCTATAATTTGACCAGGGCAGTAAGATAGATAGATTAGACTAGATTAGATTAGTTTATATAGGATTAAAATAAGATAAGATAAGATTAGATTAGGATTAGGATAAGATAAGATTAGATTAGGATTCAGATAAGATAAGATTAGATTAGGATTACAGTAAGACAAGATAAGATTAGATTAGATCAGGATCAAAATAAGATTAGATAAGATTAGGATTAAGATAAGATAAGATAAGATTAGAGATTAGATTAGAATTAAGTCAAGATTAGATTAGATTAGGATTACAGGAAGATAAGATAAGATAATATTAGATCAGGATTAAGATAAGATAAGATTAGATTAGATTAGGATCAAGATAAGATTAGATTAGGATTAAGATGAGATTAGATTAGGATTAAGATAAGATTAGACTAGGATTAAGATAAGATTAGATTAGGATTAAGATAAGATTAGATTAGGATTAAGATAAGATAAGATTTGATTAGATCAGGAGTAAGATAAGATGAGATTAGATTTGATTAGGATTAAGATAAGATTAGATTAGGATTAAGATAAGATTAGATTAGGATTAAGATAAGATAAGATTAGACCAGGATTATGATATGATAAGATTAGATTAGGATTAAGATATATTATATTATATTATATTAAATTATTTTATATTATATTATAATATTTTATATATATTGTATTATATTATATTAGATTAGATTACATTAGATTAGATTAGATAGGTAGGATAAGATCAGATTAGAATAGAATAGATTAGGCTAGAATAGATTTGATATGATTTGATTAAATAGTTTAGATTAGATTAGACAGATGGATTGATAGATATATAATGATACATAGATTGATTAGATGGATAAGAAAAGATAATATAAGATAAGATAAGGTAAGATAAGATAAGACAGACAGACAGATTAGATAGATAGATAGATAGATAGATAGATAGATAGATAGATCGATAGATCGATAGATCGATAGATCGATAGATCGATAGATAGATAGATAGATAGATCGATAGATCGATAGATCGATAGATCGATAGATAGATCGATCGATAGATGTATATATATATATATATAGATATTTACGTGCAAAAGAACACGGTGGCGGACCCTTTCATTTGTGGCAGTTGTGATCTAGTGTCAGATGTTGTCGGTTCAACTCAGGACCCAAAGGCACAGCCAAAGAAATTCCAGGCCGAAGACAGTGGTTGGCCGGCCCAACCCTGGCAGACAGTGGTTGGGCGCGTGTTATTTTCACTGTTGTTTTCTGTATTTGTTTAGTATTGGCAGTCTGGCAATTGGCAAACAGGCATAGCAGCATAGCCAATGGCAACTCTTCACGGACAATTGGGGATGCAGTGACACCTCTCGCAGGACAAAAACCAGGAGTTCTCGCTCCTCCAGTGGAGGGAGTAGTGTGGCCTCCTCGACCTCAGAGGTGAGTACATTCCTTGGGGCTGGAGGTTTGACCAATGGGAACTATGGCATGGAAAGTACATCCTTAGAATCCTTGTGGGAATCTATCAGGGGAATGTTCTTTATTGGGCGCCTTGAGCAAATTCAACATTCCGCGTTTCAAAGCCAGTGGTCTCAGGTCAAACTTCCAGTTTTTCATTCCAATGACCTCTTCAACTTATGAGATGCTATTGAGATGCAAAGTTTTCTGACCTGCATTGCATTGGAGTATCGCAGCAAAGAGTGTAGTTGGAAGCTTGAGGGACCATTATTGTAGGATGTATGATATCTCTCCCAATGACGGGTTTAGCCATGAACCGAAATGATCGATGACGACTTGATCGATTTCAATCCCACAAACCTCGATTCCTGGCGCAGTCCTGATCTCCGGATGCCACACATGTCTCTGTGCCACTGTGCCAAGCCAGGTCATCCATCGGATATCGGGGGTGGATGGCTATTCCAGTCGAGGGAGCAAAAGGGTCAATAAGCCTCCCAAAGTGGAGGCTTGGGCGGATGGGACTGTGGTGAGGTGTCGTGAGGTCCCAAGACAGCTACGTTGTTCCACGCGCTAGGATGATTGAACCCCGTTGTGGGACGCTAATTTCAACGTTGAATCGGCTTTGGGAAAAATATATCGTTATAATTCGTTATTTTGTGTATTTCTTTGTGTGTTTCATGTGTTTCTGTTTGTGTTCTCACAGCACTATGCATATTTGCATGCATGTCTGTTTTTTCCACACACACACACGCACACGCACTTTGCACACACACACACACATATATATATATATGTATTTACATGCGTACCGCTACTGGGCTGACATTTGCTCGAAATACCCGGAGTTCCATGCAGGAGTGCCGTGTTGTTCCGGAGCATGTTTTTGCAAACAGCAAACATGCAATATTGATATTGCGTGTGTTTGCATGAAAGGAAGACGAGACAGAATTCATTTTGAACTTTGACTATACTGAAACATGTCTTAAACATATTCCCGCTATTTACTATACATCGCTTCGAGCCCTAAACTGAAGCACTCCGCAACCATAAACCCTATATAAAGAAGCCCAAAGTAACCAACCTTAATAGAAATAACCCCAACAAAAACCTTCAACAGATCCCAAATAAGCCCTAGAAGAAACCTAAACCAACCCCAAGTAAAGCCTAAAATGAACTCAATAAACTAACCCTACACTAAACCCCAATGAAACTTCTGGCAACGCTCATACCTGCATACAGTTGGACCTACATAGCACACATACATAATCACACACACACACTACTAGTCATCATAATCATATATAAACATATAACTATGCATTAAAATAATCTAAAAGATACAATCACATATAATGTAAACATAATCACACACAGACAAAGGTTTGAAGATACATGAACATACACAACACGCGCAATCATACAGAAACATACATAACCATGAAGAATCATATGCAATCATATCTAATTGTATATGCGCATGACCGCACACACACACACACGTATAGAATACACAATTCTTATCTCTATCTGATTCAATGGGAACACAAAATTATCCCCCAGCAACAAAATCAAAACCAGCCAGCTATCAGCTTGCAGGCGAAACCCCCATGCTATGTCAGGCGCGGCGCAGGGTTCTGTTGTGCTCTTGCCGGGTTGCCCCGACCTCTTGGAGTGGGGTTACGAAGCGGTTCTCCAGGTGTTCGGGCTTTCTGGTGGAGAACTCCGCTTTTATCAGTCCGGCCGCAGAGTCACACAGTCCAGGGAAGGGCGCCAGTGACCAGCGGCCCAGCTAGCCGTCAGGGATTGCCAAAGCGATATGTCAGCGCACAGATGTGGAACTGTGGGATATCTGGGTCACCTTCCTTGTGCCATTTGAATTGAGTGATCTGCGCGTGGTTGCAGCATTCCGAGGTCTCACCACGATTCTGACCATTTATGCGCTCACGGGCGATGACTTTCGTATCATTTTCACTGAGAAGCCAGCAGATCTGTGGTTCAATGTCATGGCCGATGCCTGAGATGCTGCGACCTTTCCATGGTGTCAGCTGCTGTCAACTTTTGTCAAGGTGGCTGCGAAGCCTCCTGATTTGGTAATTGCCTGAGGTGTTAGTATGCATTGCCATTTTTAGCTTTGAAATCGTCATCTCCGTGATGGGGAAGGTGTGAGCCTAAGACACGAAGCTGTGCGGCATGGTTTTTTCATGTTTTTTTCCGTATTTGAAGTGCTGTGATGTGACCACCACCTACACCTCTTGCGCTCCAACCTTCCGGCTCACTGAGTCTGACTATTGGCTCGGGTTCTTCTTTATTCTGGACCTTGTGTCAACCGTCACCTTGGTGCTAGATCTCACTTGGGTCCTTGCCTCAGTCCAAGAGTTGCCAGCCAGTGATCCGTGGCTCCTTGGGTCATGATGATGACGCTGGCGCCAAGATCAATGATCTTCTAGCTGGAAACGGTGATAGCAGCTCCCTTCGCAGTGGCAGGCGCGGGGGGAGGCCTTTTTGTCTTTGCCCTTCTTGGGATGGGGCTGAAGGTCCAGTCTAAAGACGGATTGGATGGGTACTTACTGGACCTTTCTTTTTTGCTCAAAAAGTGGCGGAATAGAAATATTCCCGGCCAAAATGATCCAAAATGTCTCAACTTCTCTACCAGGCCATCAGACGTATGTCTGTTTTTTTTTTAAAAATAAATATATATATATAATTATATATATATATCTATACATAGATAGATGGATGGATGGATGGAGGGATAGATGGATCGATCGATCGATAGATAGAGAGATAGAGATACAGATACATGATATACATATGTCTATTCATCATGGATGATCCAAGAGATATTGGTCATGGCCCCTCACCAAGGACTGCGCGGATTGGCGCGAAAGCTGCCAGGATGATCCGCGTTTTGAGACTAGTCGCAGCCTCAGGCCGTGCCTGGCCCTACAATGAAACATGGGGAAATCAGCTGTTTATAGCTATAAATATAGATGAACAGAAACCAGCTATAATCTATAATGGAGGTTTTTATAGATAATTTTGGATTATTTTGCCAGCTATAAACCTCCATTTACTGTATCATTGGGGATGTCCGATTTCCATGTTTGTTTTTTTCGAAGATCCAGGCTGTAATTAAGTTGATGGCACAACAAAGTCTAGAGTTAAAATCATGCAGACCTGAAGTGTGAACAAAATGACTGCATATGTGGTGCCACGGTTAGTGTTCACGTGAATTCGGTGTTAAGGCGATCTATTTAAGTCCTGCCCAGGTGAGAATCCTCAAGCTCTACAAAGCCTTATACGAGGTGCAAGCTGGGCAGAGCACAGGGCGTTGAAAGAGATGGGTAGTCAGGTAGTCAGGTAGTCCGTGTGGTAAAACCAATCGCACAAACCACTTTTGGCTCTTGGAGTATTGCTTTTTCGGAACCTCAATGGGTGGGGCTCATGGATTGTCGTTTTGTTCTGTTTTGTTTTCATTGCAGTAATGCTTGTATCTTAATATCATCTCACATCTATTCCCAAATCTTCTTAATGGGTGGCTGTGAATCTACTCTTAGGTACATTAAACTAACCGTTACTAACGATGTTTGCAAATTGTAACGGCGGCGGTATCTCGGCCCAGCACACCTGACCGAGGCTGGTCGAGAAAGAGCGAGGCGGAAACAACAAGCCGCTGCTTGGCCTGGCTGAGACTACTGGGTATTTAACGTAGCCATAGAAAGATCCACCATTTTTAATAGGTAAACCATCTATTTCTATGGGCCATCTATACCATGGCGAACTGTTAAATAACCAAATGGTAGATTTTTATTTTAGTATGCCAGGCTACAACTCATGTCAATGAATATTGTGTATGGATGTGTGTGGTATAGTTTCGTACAGAAGTACCACATCGGATCATACCACAGCATATCAAAAAAAAGCCGTTCTGGGTTATACACATATAAAGTTGGTATGCATACGGCATTTGAATATGCATGCATATGCATGCACATTATATATATATACACGTACATTTTTACTTTATATGTAGATCTATATTTAAATTGTACATTCTATGCGCACATGTGATGTGTATCTATATAAAGGCCCAACGAATTAGGCAAAATTCCGAAGTGCCGAGGCTTTGAGGGCGACCGCCAAGGGCGAAGATGATGAGTGGGATGAACAGGATGATGAAGCGCTTGTAGGTGAGGAACAGCAGCCATCAAAAAAAAAGGGTTTCCCCCCCCCGAAAAAAAGGGGTTCTCCCCGGGTCCAAGTGACATGTTCACATTTTGATACATTTTTGGGGTGTCCAAAAATGTTGGATGATTAAACGTTGGTTGATTTGGTTGACGGTCCAAAAGGTCACGTGAAACACGGTCTGCTTGTTGCTGCCAACTGTTTGCAGATGCCGAAGAGACGGCGGTCAGGAACTGAGGGTCGCCCTCTGGGCGGGAAACATGCTGATTCCCAAAATAAGATGGTTCAACCATTGCAAATGGAGGATGAGCATTACATGATGGCTTTATTTGCACAAGTAAAATCGTTTCAAGTGCAAATGTATATAGAGAAGAAAACCAACTCACCAAGAAACACACATTTGGTTTTAGAAGGCCATATTAGCCCCAATATTGGATTCGGTGTTTTGCATGATCGCCTTGCAAGCCGAGAAAGGTTTTCTCTTCCTTTGACCTCTTCCATACACTACTGGTTGATTGCATTTGGGGTGGTGGGCTGCAGAGAATTTCTGAGGTGCAGAACCAAGCGGGTCAGGAATCTACCCTGGGCAAAAAGTTGCTGGGAACTGAGGGTGAATTCCCTGCATTCTGCCCCGCATGACCACTTGTTCCCCATGCTTTGCTGCGAGCACTGAGTGATCCGAGTGTTAGAAGGTCGGAGATGACCACGCGTCGTGTGATCATTCTGATCCTGGCACGGGAGCACAGAGCAGAGGGTACCGGCAATCTGCCTGGGACCTTGGGGGTCGAGTTTGTGCAGAGAATCTGGTTGGAAAACGTTTCAAGAAACCTAAGACCGTTGCTGGAGGACTTAAACCCGATGGGCAGGATTTGGGTTTTATGATGTTTGGAGATGTTTGGTGCTTTTTAGACCCTCAAGCCACTTCAGTCCCTCATGCCATGTGTCATGCTGTGCAGGCGATGATGGTCATCTTGCCGTTGCTTCAAGTAGATGACTTCACTGAATCTCCTTTCTCCGCTGAGTGGGGCACCCAGCTGCGCGACGTGGAGGATGTGGACGTGAACCAGCGGATGCGGATGACGGCTGAGGTATGGTGCTGACCAAGTCATGGAGTCCTTTAAGGAGGGCAGCTGAGGTGTTGCTGTTGCTGTTTAGGCCCTCAAAGCTTCACGGCTTCACCATGCAGTGTGCCACGTAGCCAAAGTTTCCAAACCATGAAGCGTTGTATGTCCAAACCATGACGGGTTTGATGAACACGGGCTACAACTTCCAACAACAAGGTGGTTGGATCATGGACCCCGATAGGACTATGACGCGTCGGGCAGCATCACAGATAGAGCAAGATATTGGCATTCCATGTTGACCTACGTCTGGGCCTGGGATTTTCCTCAGAGCAGCCAATTTGGACAGCCTGCAGCATATGAGTGAAGATGGGATGGGTAATATTGGCAATATTATATATAATATATTCTGATTATCTGATGTACTGTGCATGTTGCATTTGCAGTTGTTGTTTGTTTAATCGCATGTGCCAAATCATAAAGCTTGAGAGAAATGACTGATTCCTGTCTGGACTTGGTTGCCTTTTGTTTTGCGGGGCTCTGCTTTTTCTTGCCTCTGCTGTTTGTATGCTTCTTCCAGAGTGGCACTTAAACAACCTCCAAGGTCTACTACCACAATTGGTATGCTGGCAAGGGCCTGCAGAGCTTTTGCCGGTGCGCTTGCAGGAAGATGAGTCTTTGATGGCATGCAAAGATGGCTTTAATTCCCAAGCTGCAAAGATGTTGTCCCTTTTCGTATCTTTTCGTTTTCCTCACACGATGGATGGACGTCCTAAGCAACTGGCAAGGTACTCCGAGACGGTCTCCTGCTCCAATGGCTTCTGGGGTACGGGCCTTGGAGGGGCCTGAGAGCATGATGTACATCTCGACCCATTTTTGCGTCAGATCTTGCCCCCAAATCAAACCTTGACCTAGTTGTAAATGGGATAAATGTGGATACCTCCATTTTTCTGTGGCTTACTGAAGGTTATCATTTATTCACCATGTATCTGTCGTACTCACTTGTCGTACCAAACCCTGATCGCCAGCACACTTGTACTTTGTGGGCATTCGTGGCAACAACGAGAGCCTCGTCACTGGAAAGGCAGGGAAAGCCTTGCCCCCCGACGATCAAGAAGGAAACACATAATAATGTAACATCACGCACAGACATATAATCACACGCATGCATAGCATACACACGCAGAGACACACACACACATATGTAATGTATAATGTCGTATCGTACCATATTTGCATTTGCAAACCTTTGGAAGACATTTGAATGTTATGTGAAGTTCTTCTCATGCAGATATGCAGTACGAGTGTCTTTAAACAAACATGTATTCCCTTGGCACGCATACCCGCAGGAGCAGAATCAAACAGAGACATATGTTATGGAAAAGTCATGAATGCTTGCATGTGTACGGATAATTACGCATGTGTATGTCTACTCTGCCCAAGAGTTGCAAACCAAGTCCCAAGGCATTTCGCCATGTCCAATCCCATGGTAGTTCCTGGTGGCATGGAATACCAAACAGATCTATACAGATCTATACAGATCTATACAGAACTTCAATGACGGCATGGGGATCATTCTGTGGAGCCACCAGTCTCCGAGACTACGACTGGCCAGGCTGGCAAAGCGAGACTCAACTTCACCGTGGTGGAAAGCTTCGACAGAATGTCGGAGGCATCTGTGACTTCCTGGTGGACACCATGGGGATCCCAATTTTAGTACCTGTGGTTTGCAGACCATCTGCCATTTGTCAATTAGATCAAGTAGTTCTTCAGTGGATGTTGATCCCTTTGTTACTCAGCAGTGGGAATGGATATCCAGAATGAGATGTCACCGCATGTTTGGGTCATTATTGAAAGTTCTGCGAATATTCCTGACAATCAACACAAAGATGCCAGTTCTGACAAAAACTGTGGGTCCTTGTCAAAATTTCGAGTCTACTCTTCGGCTCTATGATGAATCTTTTTGCCAGAATTCTTCCATCAACACCCGACCTTTTCTCGGGGTGTTTGACAGCAATCGATGCACCACAAAGCTAAGCTCTTGAACCCCAAGCAGTACACAAAACGTGACGCCTGTTTGTTTGATGCGAGTCTCAGCATCTCGCAGGCAGAGCCCGCCGCGATCTATAACCTGGGTTCCTTGCCGACCAGAGCGCAGGAGACCAGTGACCCAAACCGCCATGGTTTGGACCTTCTGATTTCTTGGTCCCGAAAATTCTGAAGAGACCTTGATTGAGGGCAGCATCTTCAGGGTGGAGATGGGATGCCATGAAGCCATAGACTTGCTTGCGGGTCATCGTGCGTTCGCCTTTTGGGATGCTAGCAACCTCATATTTTCTGGGTAAACCATGATAAAACACGGTAAAACTAGGTCACTATGTACAATTTTCATTGAATGTTTAACATTTGTTGACATATTTTAATCACAGGTCATGGTTGCGTTGAAGCATTGGGTTGTTTTCTGGTCATTCAAGAATCATGCAGGAGCTCTTAGCAGCTGAGTGGAACACAGACTGCCCGGTCACTACTGGGTCATACCTGAAAGGTTTGGCACCCCAGGATGGATCCAGCTTGAGGCAGGGATCAAAGCTTGAGGGTCTGAGGGAAGCAAAAAACGCTTTCAAGATGTTTCAATCCACAAACGGACACAGAATTTCGAATGATTTGGGGGTTGCCGTGTTTGTACCCTTTGGCCATCACGGAAAATGACCCGTTTCAATGCCCATATCATCCCATATATTCCCAGATCATTTAGTGGGGGATTTCCCAGCATCCCACAGGGCTTCAACTCCCTGGTGGAGCCAAGGTGTGTCCATCATTGCGGAAGAGCTGGCGGGTGTCTCCTACGTCGTGGCTTGTCCCCAGGACCCATCCTGGAAGAGCATTTGCCTATTGTGGAGTGTATACATTCATGTATGCATATGATCAGTTACATGATATAATATATAATGTATAATGCATACTACATACTGTAATGTATAAGATATAGTGTATCACATCATATATAATATACAGTATATATCAGCTTTGAATTGTGCAGCCTAGCACAGTTAGGCCAGAGAGAAGACCGGCCTTTGGATGCAAAAGTGGAATGCATGAGGTCCTTTGTAAGATATAATGTTTCATACTTAATATATAATTTATATAATATTCAATATATAACATGCAATATATAATATATGACGCATAGTATATTAAAAAAAAAACAATAAGTAATTTATGACATATAATATAATGTTTAATACGTAATGTAGAATGTACAATGTATAATATATAATATTCAATATATAACTGTCACCAACACATCAAAACACATTATGATATCATATGATATGCTATGACAACATGTAATCAAATATACCATAATCATTTTATATTGATTGTGGAATTGTTTCTTTCCACCCATTTATTTTTTGTTTTACTGTACCCTTGTAGTTTCCGGCTCTACATTGCTTGTTTGCCAGGACCTTCGCGTCACGGAGTCCTTGCGCTACTCTCCCGTGTGGCAGACGAGATCGGCCTTTGACGTGGGGAGACCTAAAAAAAACATCCGTTGGTGGATGGACTGGATGGACCAAGTGGATGGATGTTGATGGTTGAGACATGTTGAGACTTGTAATATTTTTCCTCGAAAAATCGACCTGAGAGGGTTGATGAAACCCCAAAGCCTGAGGAGTGGCGCTTCGAGTTTTATTTCGATGTCAGGCACGGATTGGGCATAAGGATATATCAACCAAGGGCACACCAAAAGAGTTTCTGCGAGAAAAAGGGCAATTCAAAATTTTCGGAGTTTTTTTACGCTTTAAACAAATGACAGCTATGCAAGTTGAAGCAGTTGTGTAGGATGAAACATCGTGACAAGGCAAAACACGTGCATCAAAAAGATGTCAACATGCACAGGACACACCATTGGATTCATTGCAAAAGAACAATTCATAGGTCTGCGGAGTAGGCCAAACCTGATCCCGCAGGCCCTTCAACACAGAAACAGCGATTTTCAGCCCTTAGCTGAGCCCGTTGCAGCAGCTGTAGCTGTAGCTTGATGTTTGTGCCATGTTCAGCAAAAAAATCTTCGGGATTGTAAGATGAAACCAACACCCTCTGGTGTCATCAAACACAGCTAGCTGGACAATCCCCGCCCCCATGTAATTCTTATTATCCCAGCTGTAAACATCTCAAAAACTCCATTTAGTGCGGGAATTTCCCATCTCGCCATGTTAGGCACCGGTCTCTGGCTAAGGCCTTGCGACCACCAGCTTCGTGCTAGTGCTGCTATTGGCTGGGCACGGGCACTTGGAGGACTTGGAGGATGGGAAAAGGCGAAGACGTTCCAAGTGACGAATAGTCACAGTCTGGATAAGGATAGTGAAAAACGAGTAAGCCACAAAAAGATAGAAAAACCATAGAAAAGCGCGATCAGCCCTATTTTACTCGGGCCCGTGCTGACAGGTCATTGATGTTCTCCAGAGATGCAAACCGGCTGATCGTGAACCCGGTGATGTGCTCAGTGTGTACACACATCCGTGATCACCCATGTGTGCATGTGTTTCGGAAAAAGGTTGTATATAGTATAGAGAGAGACACTCTTAGAAGATGAAACCTGATATAGAGCCTTGTTGGAAGATCAATGTTTCCATTTCGGTGGTGGAATCTTCTCAATCAAGAACCAGGTCCCATATGATTGGTCCTAGAATGGAAGAGAGGCCCTAGCCAAGCACCTTCACAACAGCAGCAGCTGACAGGTGGAGCAAATGATCCGGCGGGTGAAGGAAATTCGTTCGACACTCAAGCACGAGAATCGAACCCGATGTGGCTTGTTCTGGGTTTGACAGTAGGGATGAGCATTTGCTTGAACCAACCCTGTGATGTGAAGGTCAAGACAACGGCTTCCTGTATGATTTTCGCTTCAATGACTTGATTACTTGAAGGGCTTTAGCAGTTCTCACTCAGTTCACAATTCCATCGTGAAAAGCTCCCGCGATGCTAGGTGACAATCCACTCATTGCAATGCAGATGGCGGATGACGAGCACTGTCCCCAGAAAATTTGAACGGGTGCATCAAGCAATAAAACTAGAAGCTGGGTAGTTCATGTGGTGCTCCGCTGCAGAACGTGTAGGAACTGACCATAGGGCTTTTTCTGTCAAAGGTTACTCGCCTGAATCAGTTGATCAATGGATTGGATTAAGGGAAAACCTAGAGGAAACCATGGTTTTTAGCCCCAGATCGATTGGGATTTCAACTGTGCAATCACGTTTTCCCTTCCACTTGAGGGAAATTTCTGCACAGAAACATCTGAAACTCCAGGTTCAAACTAGAGGAGCTGCGGAAGTACCGGCAAAAACGCCAGGGTTGCTTCTCAAGGGCCCCTGGGCGCTGAGCAGGGGGTTGGGTGCTTGACCCCTCTTCCAAATGGATCTGAAAATGATGGGAAAATCCGATTCCATCCAATCGTTCATCATGATTTTCCATTGATTTTCCCATATTATCCCCATCATTTTATGGTGATTTGATGGTTAGGGGTGGCCCATTGTCAGTCACGCCCAAGTGTTTCTAACTCCTTGCCCTGCCTTGAGGTGCTGTCAGCTTTGTCCTCCTGCAGATGTTTCACGGTTCCGCCCTCGGCTTTCAGCGTGTATATGTGGAGCTGATGACCGGCCCTTTATATGGTACCGTTTCTACCGGTAGATGGGCGAGGGATGACCTGCTGGGTAAGGAACGGTGATTTTTTCAAGCTCAAACAGACTCAGAACTGGTTGGATCAGACCGAATGAGGCCAGTACAATCATTGGGGTGGCAGGACCAGAACAGCAGGACCACTACGACCTCAGGGGATTCAAGCTTTGGCTCGAGCTCCATGTGCCATGGAGGATGACGATTTGCCGCCCTTGGTTGGAGAAGATGGAGAAGAGTTGAGCGAGCCCAGCGCCCATTGGGACACTGCAGATCCGGGGGATCGGGCAGAAACAGCAGGTGCTGCAGCCAGTGCTGGGGCAAGTGCAGCAAATGCCAGCACCTTGTGTAGACAAAGAGAAATTCAAGCTCCAGTTTTTCATTCTCAGTGACGCCTGAAAGCTCTCAAGATAAAGGAAGGAAACTGACATATTCTCAATGATCATCATATACTTTCCGTAACATTCAGAGTTGTCGCTTCTTTTACCCTCCCTGTTGATACGTTTGAGCTTGGGGTGTAGGCTTAGTTAGACATGTTCGCGTGATTTCCATAAACCCCCTCAGCCTAGGATCAAATCGGGCAAAAGAGGCCCCACCATCCAACTATCGAATGTGAATGAATTTGCGCGATTGGCTAGTGGTTTCAAATCTTCAAATTTCCATCAGAACTAGAATGATCACCCCCATAAAGAAAGCAACACCTCATGATATTTTATGAAATTTTAGGATATTTCATGGTCTGGTATTGTTTTAAATTTTCCCCATGCCTTATGATCATGACCCCAAGAAATGACTCGGTTCCAGACATCCCAGGCACTGCTGCCGAGCCGGACGACGATGATGAGGAAGAGGCAATGGTGGCTGAGCAGCTACGAAGCACGGCTGCAATGGCTCGCCTTCCGATGTTTCGGGGTTATGAACCCCCCCATTCGGCTGGGATGCTGTCCATGATCCATCATCCCCCCATTTGAGCCAGCTCGCCTTCCATTTGTGTTGTATGGCTGTCCGGCGTAAACCCTGGGTTGTGAAAGCTGGGGTAAGCCCATGCGGAGGCATCCTTGTTAACATGTCCTAAGCGGCTCCTTTAGCAACTCCTTGCAGGAAAACCACGTTTTGAGCAATTCAAGTAGTTCAAGTGCGTAAGCGTTGCGTAAGACTGTCTCACACCCCAACCCCCGTGTACGTCAAAATCGTGATCGCATAAGATCACGTAAGTATATAACTAGCGCGCAAGCACACGCGTAAGCAAACCCGACATGGGCATTTAATTAGCCCTTTTGGACGCTGCTCATTTGACTTGAGCATGGCACATGATATGGTCCTTCCATGCGCTACAAGGCCGTGTCGCCGTACAGCAAGCTGCTGCGCAGCAGGGAGAGGAGGTGCAGCGCTCGGGTCTCTTCTGCAGCCTACTTGAAGCATACTCAGCAAACTTTGGAACCGCCAGGATGTGTGGGTTTGTCCAAATCTAGACAATTGCATTTCTCTCTCCCTCTCTCTATCTCTCTGTATATCTGTATATAACATAATAATAATAATGCTAATAATAATAATGATAATAATATATATATATATACACTTACTGTAGGTATATATAAACATACAAAATCTATTTGTTATACAAAATTAAACGCACACACGCGCAGAATATATAATTATATATATATGTGTATATGTCATATATGGATATATGTATGTATGTATAAATGCATATATGTATATGTGTAAATGTGTAAATATGTATATATGTATATATGTATATATGTGTATATGTGCATATGTATATGTGTATATATGTATATATTATGTATATATGCATATATGTATATATGTATATATGCATATATGTATATATGTATATATGTATATATGTATATATGTATATATGTATATATGTATTTATGTCTATATGTCTATATGCCTATATGTCTATATGTCTATATGCCTATATGTCTATATGTCTATATGCCTATAGGTCTATATGTAAATACGTATATACGTATGTATGTATGTAATGTAATGTAATGTAATGTAATGTAATGTAATGTAATGTAATGTATGTATATATGTATATATGTATATATGTATACATGTATACATGTATCTATGTCTATGTATATGTGTATATATGTATATGTGTATGTATGTATATGTATGTATATGTATGTATATGTATGTATATGTATGTATATGTTTGTACATGTACATGTACATTGTACATGTACATTGTACATTGTATATTGTATATTGTATATTGTAGATTGTGTATTGTATATTGTATATGTATATGTATATGCGTATGTGTATGTGTATGTATATGTGTATGTGTATGTATATGTATCGACATTTGAATATCCATACATATGGACACAGCATACCCATCTATTGAGATGGCGATGGAAAGAGGGAGAGCCAGGTTTCGGCCACCGACGCCCTGCGAGCTGCCATGAAGGAGGCAGCGGGAGCAAGGATTTTCCAAAGGGGGAATGTTGGTAGATTTTATGGCTCAATTTATTGTGTCAAAAGACTAGTTCAAAGGCATCACTTGAATCCTGACATATCTGACTATATATTTCCCAGCACTGCTGAGGCAGAAGAGGTGAAGGCTCCATATAAGGAGCCAGACGAAGCTTGGCTGTCGGAGACATGGGCTGGCTCATGGCAAAAGCTTAAGAAGAAACTCGCGATGGGTGGTGGTTCGCTTGAACATTGGTGTTTTTCTCGCTTGTGCGTGGGATTTTGGATGGCTTGAACGTGGGCCATTTGGCTGCTCTGCCGTTCTTGACATGTTGCACATGCTCGCTTATGCTCAACAGAGGGGGGACTCATAACGTTCGTGACGACTTTGAGACAGGATTTGGCTGTAGTTGCTGACATGTTGCACATTGCCGCTTATGCTCAACACGGGGGGGTGGGGGGGGGCTTATTATAACGTTCTTGACGCCTTTCCGCGGAACTTGTTGCCGCCGTTGTTGAAATGTTGCACATGCTCGCTTATGCTCAACAGGGGGGGTGGAGGGCTGATAACGTACTTGACGAGTTAAAGAACTGTGGTTCTTGTGCTCGTGCCCCCATGCCCCCAATGTCCCCATGCCCCAATGTCCCCATGTCCCCCCCCTGACTATCCAAGCTTAGAGATGTGCGAGTTGTTGATTGTGATTCTTGTGCTCGGGCCCCCATGCCCCATGTCCCCATGTCCCCGCCCCCTGTCCCCTATACAAGTGTCAAACCCCAAAGGTGTGAGAATGGTTGATGAAATGTGGTTGTTGTGCTCGGGCACCCATGCCCCCTATGCCCCCATGTCCCCATGCCCCAATGTCCCCATGCCCCTGCTCCTCTGTCCCCTAAATGTCAAACCCCAAAGGTGTGAGGGGTGTCCAAGAGTCCAGTGTTCAAGTGATCCGGAATCCCATGTTCAAGTGAACCCAAAAAGCTCTAATTGATCAAATGTTCAAGTGATCCAGAAGCCAATGTCTAAGTGATCCTGGTGCCACTCGGCGATGCCACCCTTGCAAGATCTGAATGATTATCTTAAGCATGCACGCACAAGAAAGAAAGCAGTAAGAAAGTAAAAAAAAAGAAACAAGCAAAGAAAGAACGAAAGAAAGGAAGGAAGGAAGGAAGGAAGGAAGGAGAGAACAAAGAAAAAACATCGATTGATAGGTAGGATTGAAGGAGAAAGAGGCAAACAGAGAGAGGTAAGTAGTGAAGTAGGTAAGTAGGTGGGTAGGTAGGCAGGCAGCCATTGAGGTAGGTAAGGTAGATAGATAGATAGATAGATAGATAGATAGATAGATAGATAGATAGATCTTTAAGACACACACACACACACTCTCACACATTATTGGGCACATATACATAATCATATACATAAACATATACATAAACATCTGCACGCACACACACGCACACATACATATGTATATATATATAAACATCATAGATACATTCAAGACATTACATGCAAGGACATGCCACATTTTCACAGATACAAATAACACAATCAATTTTCATGATACGCACATTATATTATATATGTACATATAAAAAATCGAACGCGCACTACGCATACAGCTAGCAAAACCAAAGGCAATGGGCTCAGTGTCACAGCTAAGGAGCGGACGAAGCGAATGGTGCAGGCCATTGGAAAGGATGACTTTGAGGACCTCGGGGATTTTAGGTCAGTTCATCCTGGTGATTCGTATTAGGAAGTAGCATTACTATTCGTAGAACCTATTACGAATATTGCCAACTAAACTAAACATTAGTAGCTAAACAATCCACGCTTGAAATTTGAAGGATGTTAATGGATGTTATAGGTATGATCATCCTTTGCCGTTTGGAATCACAGAGCCCTGCCAGTAGCCCTGATGACTCATGACAATCGTGCCCTGAGGAGTGTGAGGATGCCATTATGCAAGGTGCAGATGTGAATGCCGACTGCGGCGCTGGCATGTGTGCTCTTCACATTTCCGCCCTGAGAGGTGGGGGAAGAGGACCTAGGGAGGTGAAACAGTTTTTGAGATTTCGCTTGTTTGCGGAGCCTGGATGTCGTGGGATGTCGTGTGTGTTTTGATTTGGGGGATTTGTGTAGACTCCGAGACCCCTTTCTGTTTCATCAGTGGTGCGAAGGTGACCCCTAAATGCAGATCCCGCAGGTGAGATCTTCCTCACTGAGCTTCTCATTGCCCATGGTGCCAACATCAATCAGCGCGACATGAGTGGCAACACGCCTCTGCTGTATGCGTGTCATTTTTATCGCCAGCATGGCAGAGGGGTGCAGCTTTGCGCACAATTGCTGTTTCACAAAGCTGATCCACACTTTAGAGTGAAGGATGGATACTTGGTTGTGATTGAGGCCTATCTTGACTTGGAATCAATTGAATGTTGACCACTGGTTTTCAATGGGTGGGTGGCTTTGACACATCAAGTAAAGTAAATCCTGCTTTCTATTTTGACGCATTGGCCGGGGGCCATAATATCAAATGGGATAGAAATGGATCCAAATTGGCATGATCTCCTCCCCAATGCCTGATGTTTTCTGGGATTTTTCCACATGCATTCTCAATAGTGTTTCTGCATTTCCATTCCCCCAATGACCCAAGCCACACCAGGAAAGCTAGCGGGAAAGAGCGCATTGGACTTGATGGACAAGGCTTGCAATGAGCCTAACACCGACGAAAATGTGCCCAGGCAGATGAAAGCAATGCTGCAGTTAGCCTTGGAGGGTTCTGAGACTTGGATTGCTTGGATGACTTGGTTGGTTGGGGCCTGGGACCTGTGATGACCTGCAATGATTGTGGCTGTGTGTCAACCTGACTCAATCTGGCATGGATAGGTAGCCCAAGAAATCCCATTATGAGAGATCATAAGAGACATATCAGACATATCATTGAGGATTTGGACAACACAACTCAGCAAGCTTGTCTAAGTGCGGAAAGCCGCAGGTGTGTATCAGGAAGTGTGTCCATGTAGAAGTCAGTCCTGCACCCATTGATACTTGTATGATCTTGTATTGATATCTGATATCCATGCGAATGGTTGGCATTTCCGCGCCTCCAACTTCTTGGCTTCGCGCCAAGGAAGCTTGCCTAGAAGCGATCACCAAGATGTGGGTGTCGATTAAGTCGCAGCCGCAGAATAAGAAACTCTTCCAAGTCTCCTCCAAAAAAGACAATTTTGATTATGCCATGAAGAGTATCGACTGGGCCGATGAATTGAAGTCTGGTTATGCTCCGGTGAAGTTGGATGTGCAGTCCGACTGCATCTTGGAGGAGAAGTTCACTATTTTAAAGGACTACCTCTTCAACGACGAAGGTGGGCATCGCTGGATGACGATGAATGAGAAAGATTGGAGGGATTCGGCTATAACCCATCAGTTGGCGGTTGGCAGCCAAAAATATCAGTTTTTCTCATGCCAGGCCTCCAGGTTTTGCCGCCCAGGCGATAAAGTGAAGGTCTATGTCACCTTTCCTGAGGCTGTCCCTGTTGACCTTGGGAAGGCCAGCAGTGTCTGCTGAATCCCTAAAAACACGTCGTTAGTCCATGTTCAACGGCTGGGGCCCCCAAATGTTCCTTGCAACGGCAGGAAAACTTGGATGTGAGCTTCGAGTACCAAGCCTTTGATCTGAAGCTGCGAACTGCCAATGAAAGCTTCAGACTGAGGATTGAGTCGCTCGGCTGGTATGAAACATCCTGGGACGCACAGGTGCCAGGAACTGCCCGTATTTGGAGTCTGAGTGGGCTGGTTTAATGATTTTTGATTGACTTTGATCTGTGAACATCAGCGATAACATACTTTTTTTTTGGCCTTTTTCTCCATGTCCAATGGGTATGTCTACTTGCATGCTCTAATTCCTTCAACATCAAAGGTGAAAACCGACTGAGATCATTTTGAGGTCTAACAGCAGATAATAGACCACGATGGCATCTTAGGTTCAATGTTCAACACTTGTCCCCGCCCTTGAAGCCGCAGCTTCAGATCCCATAGGCCACTCTTCGGCAGCATCGATGTGGATCAGTGCAAGCATCGAGCCTCGCAGGGCTCCCGAAAAGTGACGCTGACCCTCACTAAGCGGCACAAGAACCGCACCTGGACGACCCTGCAGAAGGCCAGATAGCCAGGTGGCCAGGATGAACGAAAAGAGACGTTGGAGAGAAAATGCGGCGGATAAAAAAGGCCGAAGGAGGAGGACATCTGATGTATTTGGGGCCATTTCGAATATGTCAAATTGGTGAGGATACCCTGCCAGAAGGCTTCTGAAACAAGTAAAAACCATGTAAATACCATGATTCTTATCCACTTTGGAGATTTTGAAGCGGAACCTCCAGCATCGCTTAGAGATAGGGAAGGACCGCCCCCAAGGCCAACAAAGATGGGCCGATGGAGACGGTGATCTTGGAGAAGACCATCATCAAGCCGAAAGCTCAGAAATGGGAGGCACCTGTAGCTGGATTTTTATCATTTTTTGGGGATAAAGATGATAAAGATGCTTTCAACCATTGGATTTTGACCCCCGGGGACACGGCCTCAATGCCGAAAAAAACGATGAGATGTGTATCATTACCATGGGTAAAGTCACCCACCAGCCGTTCACTGTGGTCTGCATATATATATATATATTTGCACGACATGGTGCCCAAAAACTTGGATAACATGAGAAACACAAAGTGGCAGCCGCACCGCCAATGCAGAGACTCTGGGCGCTCTCAGGTTGGGCTCTCTGCTGGCACTTGGCTTTGGAGAGGCTCCGTTGGGCCATGGTGGGCGCAAGGATCTGTTGGTCAAGCCATGTCGGATACAATCTGTGGCAAGATCGTTGATCTTCAAGCCAGTTGTTCACGGACTCAGGCGGGTGCCAACATCATCTCCCACAACATGAAAGGCACGAAGATTAGTAGGGCCAGGGTTTGGGTGGAAGGTTGGTGGTGTCGTGACAGTTGGGATGAGTATCTGTAATAAAAAGCAATGTTATTCTATCTTGTCTATCTTCTATATCTACTGCATGCTAGCATGCCTGTTTCAATATTTGTTAATTTTGTAGCCCTGGTGATTTCAGGTTGGAAAAACGTGGCTCAAGGTGGCTTGCCCGCTCAGTCCCTATAGTCCTGAACTGAACCAAATCCAGATTTGTATTTTGAATCTCAACTCTTAGTTCAAATGTTCTGAATCTACCAAAGCCTCTCTTAGTTAGGTGGTTTCCAATTCACTGATGTCTTCGGATGGGTTCCCCCAACCACCGGGATTCCACCGACCAGGCAGCGACTCAGCGGGCGTCAACGCCATTCTGCCGGGCATGAAAGTGGACTGCGTCATCGGACTGTGCCGCGTGCTGGATTTCGGTACGGCCACAGAGGTGCGAAAACCCAGATTTTCCCGGTCCGTGGAGTTTGAGGATTTCCCAACCATGTTTGATTTCCCTCCGGTACGTTCTATTTTCAGACAAAATCCACGTGGATTGTGCGAATGAACTAGAAATTTTTGATATACAACGTCAACTCTGGACGAACAAATTCGCGGTCGGTTTGCAATCAGTTCTGCCTTGATTGATAGCAGCATCTCACCTTTGAGGAGTAACTGCAAAATTAATCGGCCAGTTTTTTTTTCACGATTGACACTGCACATGTATGCATGCTCGCGCCTGCCCACAGACCAAAAAGATGCCACACGCATGACAATATTAAACAATATGTTTGCAAGCAGACATGCACAGCCAAAAAACAGCGAGGGAGCATCCACCATTTCACCATTTGTGAAGTTTTTTAACTTCACATAGTGATTCCCAGCCCAATGACCAAACATGAACCACTGGTGTTGGAGCGTAACCCCTTGACAGCTCCAGACTTCGATCTTTAGACATCTTGAAGAATAGATAATCATATGGCATGCCCATGCAAACCTCATGACAAACACACGCCATTTATATACATCTACCAGATTTTCCCCTGCGAAGGGAAAGCAAAACCATGGCCAAGAAAGAAGCAAAACCATGGCCAAGAAAGGCGTTTGATCCTTCCACCAGCACCACCACCATCATCACCATCATCATCATCATCAACAACAACAATCAATACCCTACCATCCCCACCCATCCATGTCCCAGAAACATCCAGAAACATCGGATCCCATCCGTCGCTACAGGTCCTGCAGGGACGCATCATGACCTTTGTGAATCAGATCGCAGAGATCATCCACGGAGTGGTGGACGAGTTTCATGGGGTCCTACGGCCTGTTGGGAAAATTCCGCGGATCGGGAAAAACATCCCAAGAGTTGGGGTTTTGTTGAAATCATCACTTGAAAAAGTATGAAACAGTATGAATGTTGGAGATTTTCTATCCCCAATACTTGGGTGATGTGAAAAATTAGGACATTTACCAACCCCTATTCACCTGCGGATCTTTGGATGATACGGGCCCTTCGCGGGCAGGGAGTTGATCTTTTTTTTCGGGTGCCACACACCAATACTGAAGGATCCTTTAGGTCTTGTGCAGATGTTCACCGTTTCTGTTGGCCAGTCTCCGAACAAGAACAGTGGCGACCAATTTCTGGTGATTTGGCGCATGGACACTGGCAACAACGTCTCCCGCTGGGAGGCTGGGAATTTCAGAGAGAATTTCAGGAGGTGTAAGTTGCTGACCCCATGGGACTCTTACACTGATCTGCACCTATCAGACAAGCATCAGTATGATTATATATGACGCACACACACACACATATATATATACATATAAGTATATATATATATACACACACATATATATATATACATATACATATATCCACATGTATATACATATGTATATATACATATTTTTATATACATTTGTTTTGTTGATATGCATATATACATGTAGCATAGTAACCGCCAAAAAAAAACAAACGTATTTTGATATCACCATTTTAGTATATAGGATTGTATTTTTCTGTCTTGTTCGGGGTTGCTGTATATTTGTATATATACATGTGCATAAACAGATAAATGCATGAATGAATGAATGCATGAAAAAATGAATGAAGGAATGGATGAATGAATGAATGAATGAATGGATGGATGGATGAATGAATGAATGAGTGAATCAATAAATGAATAAATAGATGCATAATGTCATAATGAACTAAGCAAACATATATCAATGTAGTGAACTCATTGCTTTCCACGTCGATTGATAAGTAGTAGAGCGGCTGAGCTAACCTTTGGGGCTGTTGAACCGTGTGCAGGACCTGGATCATAAGAAGGTTGTCCGGCAGCGGATTGCGGAGATGTCCATCTTGGCCTTCTGCAAGATTTTAGGCCGGCAGTGATCTGAAGGGCGGAGGGGCGGATTTTCAAGCCCACTTCGTTGGGTGAAGACAAAGGGGATAGATATGATAGATATGGCTTTGTTTGAAAATATATGAAGATATGGTATCCCTAAATCCACTCTAGCATCCACTCAAGCGTCCATTCATCGTTTTCCCTATTCAAATAAGCGGTCTGCCCCATTTCCGCACAAACTACCCTGAGGTGCCCTACATCGCTCGGCGCTGTTAGCAGGCGGAGATTTGTTTGCGACACGTGAGCGGTACAGTGAAGTAAATCCAATGATAGACCGTCCCAAGTGACCGGAAATGCATGGAAATGTAGTATAAACATGTATAAAGCATGAAGAGAGAATTTTTACGACCTCCCCATATTTGGGGGGGATAAGAAACCACGGTTTCCTGGGGTCCAATCTGCCCCATAGGTTTTTACCACTTGGGGCCTCTTTGCGCTCAGACTATCGAACTCATCCTGGGCTTCAATACCGGCTTCAAGTCAGAAACGGCCGCGCCCCAAGATGTCGCAACTGGCTGGGGCCCTGAAAAATTGTGAAGTATTGCCGCTAAACAACGGAATTAATTATATAGGTATATACACGCGTGTATTCTATCTATCTATTTGTCTGTCTGTCTGCCTGGCTGTCTGTCCGTCTGTCTGTCTGTCTGTCTATCTATTTATCTATCTCTCTCTCTCTATATATATAATCTGTCCCTGTATGTGTACATACATCTCTCTTTCTCTCTCGTTCTGTGAATGTGTGTTTCTGCCAGCAAGAACAGTTCATTTTTTCGATTTTGATCTTGATTTGCTTCTCTTTGGTGAGCCCCTGGGGATATCAACCGACTTGGGGCCAAGGTTCTGAAGCTTCAGAGGTTCGAGTGAATTTGAGCTTCGGTCTTCATGCTGGTTGGGCCATCGAGGCCCCGGCCGCTAGAACCCTTCCGCACAAATCCAGCAACCCTCGTTTAGGATGAAGCAACATGGTCAACTTCCAGGGGTTGGTAACTGTCCCATTTTGGGAATATTGGACATCACCTTATAGTAGCCATTATAGACCATATACCTAATGGTTGGGTGATGTTCAATGGGGACATTCAATGACCCATGACTTCAGTGGGAAACCAATCCCAACGGACACCAGGGCGCTGTCGGGAGCGAGTTCAAAATCGATGCCTCCTACGTATCGCCCAACGCCCGGGACCTCGGTATGTTGCAAGAAATGTGAAGATGTGGGAACCCAACATTTGTTTTCCACTGTGCTTCAAGATCTATTTATAATATATACAATATATATACAATATATATACAATATATATACAATATATATATATGTATATATATATATATATATTTATATAATCTATTTCGATTTCTTGGTGTGTTCTGGAGGGATGGTTTTTGAACACAGTAACCTTGTGAGGTGAATATCGCCTCCAGCGTGGAACGCTGCACGCAGGTGCCGGAAATCGCTGGGTAAATGGGTGAGTTTTCGGCCAGAAATGGCGCACTGTTTGGCTGGTACCAAGGGTTAGCCGGTTTGCCATAATATGGTGATCTATGGCTGATAACCTGCCAGATCCGCATATTTCTGGAGTTGCAGCCCTACGACGTGCAACTGGCTTCAAATATCTTTACATTCTCGGTATTTGGGGTCAACATCATTCCAATTGACTGTACATAGATATAAGAAACACATACATATAATGACATATCAAAAGTACATGACGATAAAATTCAAGGAGAAATAGACACGCACACACGCACACATACATATACATATACATATACATGTACATATACATATACATATACATATACAGATGCAGATGCACATGCACATGCACATGCACATACACACACACATATACACACATATA